GTTATGCAGTAGACTCCCTCCTGGTTCCATATCAGGCCGTGTTGTCTTTGGAGAGGCAGAGGTTGGGCTGGACAACTGCCACGGCGCAGAGACGCAGGAGATGGGCTGAGTTTATTGGGCCGAGAGAGAAAAGATGGGGAGGAGAGATGGAGGCTGACACCTGCAGGGATGGGATGCTGATACACTGCAGCAGCTTTCAGTAGAAGTGCCTCCTGAAAGGCCGTCCGTATAAAAAGAGGCATCACAGAAACTGGAAACATTTTGTCTGTGGAGTGTTTCACAAATCAGGAACAATTGGTKACATTTGTTTTGGTAAACATTACAGAATGAGAATTATTTGGAGACTTAACGTCATAAATTTATATTCACACACGGAAAGAGAACGAGTGTTCGGTCACTCTGGTGCATGCTGAGAATGAGGAAACAAATATTTAAAGTTGAATGTTTAATGTAAAGTTATGTAACGACTGCTCAACAAACAGCTTCTGGAGGTCACCACATCTGATCTCATCAGATTTGCAGTAAAGAATCTAACAGTGTTTTGTAAACCATCTGAGAGCAATAAAACCCTGCCAGGATTTGAACCTATTGTCACAAACAAGTGAACGTGTTTCATATGTTACACCAGGGGTTAATTGAGTTGTGTTGAGTTTGAGTTATATTTTATTATTTGTTTATTTATTATTTAATTATCAATAAGGAAAACCGGAGTGCCYAGAGAAAACCCACATATACAACATCCAGCTACATTTTAAATTCAGGATTCAGCATAGCAAAGTTCATTGTCTTTGTCACAGTCTGTGAACATGGTTTTGATATCATACTATGCTTATGAGGACATTTAGTCACTATGTGGACATTTGGGGCATATAGTACCTCAAAGTAATACTTGAGTAAAAGTCTTAAAGTATCAGATTTTTTCTACTTGAGTAATTTCTGACATAAAATGTACTCAAGTAGTATAGTGACTTGTTCTTAACAGAAAATAAAACAAACCTAAGCCACTGAGGGGCTGCAGACTGGCACTTAGTTGACACATAGTTGTTCTGGATCCAATGAATGAAGGCTTGATCACAATTGAAGAGCATTTATTTGATCTTGCGCTCTCCAGCAACATGTGAAACTTAACGTTGCAGACTTACGTTAACAGAGTAATCAAAAATTTTACACGATTGCTGCAATGCAATAATCAAAAAGCATAGCTGAAAAAACAAAAAGACAACAATCAAAAAACTGTTTTCCACTATAATCAACACACCTGCTAAGTGATTACATGTGGCTCCTTTTAAGCCAAACATAATGCCATCCACTGTGACCTTTAAGTATTACACCAAACAAAATAAACACCAAGTTTATCAGGATAATATTTTTTATAACACTAATGAGCTGGAATGAAATAGGTGTGACAACTTTGGGAGTGCTGTGGTGAAGTGAGAGCTGAGCCAGAAGGCGAAGCTCTCGATTTACCAGTCGGTCTACATTACTACCCTCATCCATGGTCACGAGGGCTCTCCCTTAGAGATAGGGTGAGAAGTTCGGCCAGCCGGGAGGGATTCAGATCAGAGCCGCTGCTCCTCCACGTCGAGAGGAGCCAGTTGAGGTGGTTCATCTGGTTAGGATGCCTCCCTGGTGAGGTGTTCCGGGCACGTCCCACTGAGAGGAGGCCCAGAGGAAGACCCAGAACACGCTGAAGGGACTATACTTCTCAGCTGAAACAAAATGGAGGCTCCTCAAAGATCCACCAAATATAATTTGTTTTATCCAAATTCAACAACAATTTATTAAGTTGAAACTAAGTTTTTACCTTCCTAAATTCTTAAATTTTGTCTGTATCACCTCTAACATCTGTTCAGTGAATACTGTGTCATCTGCAAACAGAATACATTTTAAAAGCTTCGACAAATTGACCAAGTCATTCACATATAAAATAAACAGTTTTGGTCCTAGCATGGAACCCTGAGGAACCCCACAACTAATATTTCATAATTCAGATCTTACATTGTTTACTTTGTTCAGACTCACTGCAGAACCTTTACTCTCAGACCAAACTTGGCCTCATGAAGTTGTATTAAAATCCTCACRTTTAAAAATACAACAACAATTTTAGTGAAGGAAGTGGAATTAGATTGGACTCTGTCAGGAAGTCTCGTCATCTCTGTTTGTCCTCAGACAACTTTACCTTCAAGGTACATTTCCCCTTAAACGATCCTCCATTGTTTGCCAACAGGTCTGACATTTCAGCACAAACATATCTGTGTGTTTGTGTCCTTTGTCCTGCCCCAAGCGTTCTGTGCCCTGTTTGTTAAAAGCACTTTATCGCTAAATTTGACTTGGCACGTCTTGTCAAGAGAGATTGCAGCTGATGGGGCTCCATGACCTGCAGATAAAAYATCCATTAAGTGGCTTGTCTGGGGCTATTCTGTGCTCCTGACCTATTAGCATATTGTTAGCCATTTCCAAGATGGTGCAGGGGTGCATAGACACCACCGTACTGCAGCCAGTCACCACACCATAAAGAAACYGCCTCTCACTCTGCTGCTAAATGTCGTCTCAAGCATTCTAATGCTTACCGGCTGTCCTCCATCAGACCATTCAAATGACCACTAAAAGCCTGAGGGAAGGGGGGAAAAGGGGGCCAAAATGCAAAATTGATGGAAATGACATTAGATTCAGCTCATGCTCCTCACTGTGTAAATTATGCCCCAAAATGGACTCTCTGGCCCAACTGTTAGCTCCAATTTGTTGGGCCATACCTCACGGTGGCTCGTCTCGCCCTTCCTCTCTCCCTTTAATCCAATCAGAGCCACACTGGATGTTATTTATTTGTTTATTTATTTATTTTCGAAGGATGTAAGCGATTCTTATCAGGGCTGAAGTAGTGTCTTCTTCCTGGTGAAACAGTGACTAACGTCCAGCCATCGATCCGTCAGTTGGTTTGCGGTGGCGGCTGATGGCTCTGGTGATAGACTTCTGTGTGTGTTTATATGTAGAAGTGTGTAGAAGTGTGTAGAAGTGTGTAGAAGTGTGTGCACTGAAGTCAATAAGACACATGTGAGTCTCAAACTAAAGACTCATCTGTCTTCTTGTTTATATTCTTTGTGTTAATGACTGTAAGTCTATGAATCCTTTTTTGTTTCCTTTTATCACTGCAACAATAAATCTTTATCAGATTCTTTTCCTTGGAAAAAATGCAATTGTTTTGTTTTAAACTATGAAAATTACATATCAAGTTTAGTAAAATGAGTAATTGTATACCTAAGTACCAACTTATCTAGTGTTTTTGTTTGCAGCTTAATAGCAAATAATACAACTTTTGAAAGCCCTGAACCCCACACAACACTCTAATGCAGCAGAGCATTGTGTAATTGGGCAAAACAACCACAAAGAAGTAAAACTGTTTCTAACTTCATGGAGTTGGTCAAGAAGCATTAATTAAAAGTGTGTTTTCCAAGGCTGGAATGTGGTGATGTCTGTTCATCCATCCATCCATCCATCCATCCATCCAACCTTCATCCAGCTGTTCCACCTCACTTTAAACTCAGGCCATCAGCAGAGGCCTGGGAGCTTCATGGTCCTGTTCAGGATCTTAACTGGTCTGAGTTCTTTCTACCATCCGTCCAACCATCCATCCATCCATCCATCCATCCATCCATCCATCCATCCATCCATCCATCCATCCATCCATCCATCCAACCTTCA